TAATTCTCTCAATTTCTGGACCTTATAGATTTCTGATTCTCTAGATTTCTGGATTCTAAATTTTTGTTCTCTTTCTCTCTTCCTCCAAGCCTCTATTTATAGGCTTCTTGGGTTGATAGGATGATAACACGTGTCATCTCTTGATAAGGGTAAAATTATAACTGGACCGGATCTGTTATATTATGATAATTATCCTTAAAAATAATTATTCAAAATATATTTTATTAGGAATAATTATTTTTTCATTTAATTATCTGGGTCGGACTAATTAAATAATTTAAGTGGAGCAAACTTGAACCAATTAAATAACTTAATTAAACATTAAATTTATATTTAATGAGTCAATTTATTCAAATCAAAATTTCCTAAATTTTAGTGTCTACATAAATATAGTGATAACTACTTATCATGTACGTGCAATGAAATAATGGGCAGCTAAAAAAACGAATTTATGCATAAAGCAGTGCAGGCATTAGCGTTAATTTGGAACCATATATATTTCATGCGTCCATCTACGTTGTCAAATGTCAATCTTTTTCTTACTAAGTGTACTGTGTGGAGAATGTCGACCAAGATTAACAGCGCCCACTAATTTAGACACGATTTCACACGGTATGTGTCTTACGATTTTCTGCACGGCATGACGACGACAAAAACAACTTTCCTATCAATTTCCTGTTGATACGTGGAAGAGCTGACTTACATAATTTGTCACATTCATCACGTGTTGCACCAACGTACTAGGCCAAGTCAGTACACGCAAGGCTTGGAATTAGCTTAAAAACATCGATCCGAATCGAACATCATTCAATACAAACATTAATTTCCTGTCTTCTGGCCATAGCTAGGTTTATTTCTTATTGTAATCGTATTCACAGGATCATCCTAGCAAGAAGAATCTAATAAACGAGGTTTCTTAACAAAATTTTGGGAGGGTCACATGTAAATTATTATTATTTTTTTAAAATACCATGTATAATTATTAAGAATTGTGGATCCTAAAATAGATTTTTCAAAATAATAATAATAAAAAGGTTGGGGATCGACTAACCCCGGCTCCGCCGCTGAACATACTGTATCTCTCCCCAATTTTTATGGTCGAAGTCCCAATGTTGATGAAACGTACTAATACTTTTATTGTTGTAGGAATTGATTTGGTGTGACTTGTTCATATTTTCCTTCTGTATATTCATCTGGCAACCAATGAATTCTAGATATGATGATTTTGTACATGTAAAACACATGCGATCACAACAATCAAATTATTAAATTACAAAACTGCCTTCTCTAACTCTAATATTCATTGGTTGGATAGAGTGTGTTGCTTTCATCTTTTCAGCACATTCACCTGATTGTCTGTGTACCATTGATAGGGGGCAGGAGACCCCATACATATTTTCTGAGATCCGTTACAAATATGGAGTGTATGGCCTCAACACCAAAGTACACCGAATGAGTCGGAGGTAATAAGGGAGGCTGACAGGAGTCGAACACTGGCGTAGTGTGTGCCAATGCCAAGCCCCTACCAACACATTTGATAAGTACTTCTTTCATGACAACTCTGATATACCATTCTTAACACATTTGATGAGTACTTAAAAACTAAAAAATAAAAAGAATATTTTTATTAATTTAAAATATATGGATGTATTTAATATATTTCAGTAATAAAATTTACAATAAATGATATTATTGTATTTTTTTTTTTTTTTAAGACAATACTTGGGTCCTTCCATAGGAGGATAAAGTTCATCCTCTTGCCTGATGTGGTCCAATACAATTTAGACACATGTTTAAAATTATAAGTTTTCTAAAAATAATTATTACACATGTTCTCAAGTGTTAAACCGAATCCCAAAATTTTTATTTCCTTTCCAAAAGAATAGGATTGTTTCTATACCCAAATTGAAAATTTGCAAAATTTATTTAAAGAATATACTATATCAAGTGTTGAATAGGGAAGAAATATGAGCTTAAATGGTGCAAGTTGAGGGTTTGATTGATGTAGATAGACTAGGATTTCAGATTGAGATTGGGTAAAAAAAATTGGGTTTGGGTTTAAGGGATTCTAAAAATTTTAAATAGGGAAAAAAAAAAAAAATATTGGATTTGGGTTTAACCAGAAAGAAATTGGATAATAACCAATATTAAAAATTTTAAAACGTGTCTTAATTGTATTAGACCACTTCAGCTGAGAGGATAAAGTTCATCCTCTAATAGAAGGACCAAGTATTGTCCTTTTTTTATACGTTTTTTTTCACATCTTTATTTCCTCCATTGATATAGTACATAATTTATCCCGCATTTCTTCTTTTTGGTTTCACACACACACACACACATATATATATATAATAGTAAAAGTAAAAGACTTATATACAAAAATAAACGAATACTTTTCGGGAATGCAAAAGAAGTTCTTGAAAAAGACTTTTTTTTTTTTTTCCTTTCCTATTTTAGTTTTAAAGAGCAGGGTGGAGCACTCCATCCCCATTCGGGCCATTCTTGCCCCCCATCAAATTTTAGTCTCTCCAAACCCGTCCCACTAGAGATGGGACAACATGAATTGCTTAGGTATCCTAACATTTATGGTGGGTGGCGATTAGTAGTGAGAACAGGTCGGCAATTGATTATGGGTGATGGTTTTGGGGATAATGTTGCGATGGTGTGTAAAGAGAGAAATGGGCGGCCTGTTGGTGGCGACACCTTTCTCTAAAAGAGATAAACTCTTTTTCTCCCACGACATATTCTTTTCTTTATTGTCAATTATGCAGGGTTATTTTTGTCAATTTATATTACTAATATTTTTTAATAAAATTAAGGATTAATTTCACTGACACCCCCATCAAACTTGGCCAAATATCACTCTGAAATAACTTTCAAAAATTACTATCACTCATTTTACAAACATTTGTTCTATCCTTCACTCACACCCCCAATCAAAATCTCTGACACCATGTAAATTGACTTAAATACCCTTTGACTTTGACAAAAAAATCTTTAACCCAAATAAATATACCAAAAGACTAAATTGTCTCTAAATATTTTACAAATTTACAATTGTGTATATATATACACACACATACATATAAGTATACATATATAGATATATATATATATATATTTATTTACTTGTATATATTTAAGGCTTTACTGCCCGGCGGCTGCAATACCCACTTCTACACTTGCCGTAGATACTTCCAGTTTGATGTCTTTGGGATCTTTGGTATTCTTACCACCTTACCCCACAATCGCCTGTAGTTTCCGCCACCCCCACACCACACCACACCATAATCTCCACCACCAGATCTCCGTCGGACGCACACCATTAACCCATCAATGGCGTCGATATGTTAAGAACAAGTGGTGTGATTTGTTGTTAGGGAAGAGGTGAAAAGGGAAACAGAAAGAAATTAGGGTATCTCATTCATTCTTTTTCTGATCGTTCCATTAAAAATTAAGGTTTGTAAATTCAATCAATGAAGAGAGCAAATTAGGGTTTGAACAAATTTGGGTTTGGTTAATAAACTTGGTGGTCGAAAAACACAAAATTGGCGACACCATGTTCTTCATGAGGTGAAGCAATCCAAAGGAGATGACCAAAACTATCCGCTTGGTTCCAGATTAAAATTTCTTGAAATTTTCATCAATCAATTGAATACGCATATGTGTATATATATACACGATTCTATTTTCTCTCTACTTTCTCACTATTCCTCTCTCACTAGTTAGGTGATACCTTCAACAAATGGAAACTTCATGTATAGCCTTCCAAGCTTTCTCAAATTTTCTTTTTCTTTCCAAATCCGTCTAAAGAAAGAAAAAAGAAACCAAAAGAACTGTTTATGAAAAAATTGGTAATAGTTAAAAAAAAAAAATTTCATTGATGATTAAGAGCAACTACTAGAAGAGGTATATTAGCTAGTCAATTCATCATATTGTTGTGGTGGAGGGAGGGCACCGGTGCTGAAGAGAGAGTGTGTGAGTGACTTGTGAGGGTGACGGTGGTAATTTGGTTTTTATATAATTATGATATTTTAAATTAAAATGTATAAAAAAAAAATGAGGGTAAAAATGTCATTTTACACTTATTTTGACGGTGTCATTGACGGAAATGTGATTTGGGGTGTGAGTGATAGGATTTTTCGAAAGATGTTTCAAGCTAATATTTGGCCAAACTTAAGAGAGGTGTCAGTGAAATTAACCATAAAATTAAATTAATAATTTAAGGATATTTTTGTCATTTGAAACTACAAAGGATGTCATTGTTCAAAATTGAGTTGACCATTCGCTGAGTGGAATTGATCAAAACTTAAAAAATGTCAGTGTAATTAACCCTAATTAAAAAGGTCAATAAAAAGAAAAAATAAATAAATTTGTAACTTATAAACAAAAAATAATAATAAAATCTTTTCCAGGTAGTAGTAGGGGTAGGGACTACGGCCAATGAAAATGAACAGATAGCGCCCACTATTTGTCACAGATTTCACATATATGTATAATGTATGTTAATTACTACTAGTTTCTGCGAGGCAACTGCGACATTTCATGCATGTCTCCTGCTGATACAAAGTGGCTGACGTAATCGTCGCCATTCTCACCGTGTGTCACACTCACACCCACCACAACCTAACCAACTCATGCATGGAAGCTTAATTTAATTTGAAGGAATAGTCAAACTCCATTGAAGATATGTCTTATTCCAATCAAATACTTAGAAGTTTCCAATCAGAAATGGATTCGGAACAGGCTCGTCAAAACTATACCAAAAATCGTGTCAGAATCCATCCATTTGAATTTTTGAAACTTTTGATCGGTTTACTTACCAGAAAAAAAACTTCTGACGATAGACCAAATAGATTTTGGCAACTTGTTCCACGTTTAATGATAGTAAGCAATCATCCATCCAGACATTACTAATTGGTTGCAATTTTTTTTTAATGTAACATGTTTATATATATATATGTCTCTGTAAGAATGTATGTACGTATTAGGTGTGCGTACGTGAAGAGAAAGTACTTGATATGCATAAACACCATCTCTGAGTGGTATATATCTAAAAACCAATCATGAATCAATCAAATTGTGTCCTATACTAGAACATTTCGAATATAAAATCAGATGTCCAAAAAAAAAAAGGGACGTACTGATCCAGTAGTTCGTTTCAAAAAAAAAAAAAATTGGTGGTCAGCTTTGTTTCCTTCCATACATTAATTTTCAACTAAACGTATTGGAGCGAATAGGGAGCACCGTTGCAACTTTGTAATGAGAGCATGCATGTGGATTGGAGGAGGATAAAATTCCAGCAGTCCAGCTCAAGGATCTGTGGTGAAATTTTGTTACTATGCTTCTAAAACCTTCTTCTAGGACTAGGAGTGGATCGAGGGCGACCTCCTCTACCTGAGCTTCTTTAAAGGCGCCATACATGTTTGATACGTACCAGTAAAAGCATAGGTTCACAACACTTAGCATTGCTAACATTCTGTAATACTCATCCAAGTGACTCTCATCTAGAGTGTCCTTAAACCAGCCTCTAAAAGCAAGCACAAAAGGTATGCACAGGAATTTCCCAATACCTAATATACAATCACCGAATGCTGGCCCGTAGCTCCTCATGGATTCATCAACATGATGGTTGAAGAAATCTTGGAGCCCTTCTTCAGCAAGTCCTTCCATAAGCCCTAATAGGCAGAACTGAGGGGCTAACCAAAATATGCTCATGGAAATGGTTTGGTCTGACTTGTCTGTGAGTCTCCCTTTCCGAACTAAATGCAACCTGTGGACCTCAACCTGCCAAGCAGTAATGCAACATAATATTGAACAAACCATCCCACTTCCAATTCTCACAAGCATAGTACGCTGCCGATTTGCTCCACCCCACAGCTTTGGGACTAGTAAGTCATACATATTAGAGAATGCGAAGCTTGAAAAGGACTGGATTACAAAGAATGTAACAATTGGGACAATGAATGTTTTGCCAATATTAATTTCATCATTCAAGTTAGTAGTTTGTTCAATAAAGAAAGTGCTCCCTGTTGCCTCTACAAGACTGTATACAAGGAAGGTTGTCCACATAGGCACCATTTCTAGTAGAACTTTTACTCTACTCACTTCTGCAACTGTGCAAATCTTTCCTTTCTTTTCTTGTTCCTCTAGACTATTGAGAGGAGATGTCTCTACAATTGCAGCTTTGTCCATCCACCTGCAATGCAGTCCTTTTCAAGAGAGAGAAAGTGCCTGTTTGGCGCACTGCAACTATGAAAAAAAAAGCTTCTACATGTAGAACGTACATACTACAAGGTATATATATATATCAAACTAGCATTTGGAAAGGTTGGATGTGTATTTTTTAAAACAATTTTAAGGGTTTTTTTGTCTTTATGAAAATACAAAGAGATAAACTTTTCCATGCAAGTCAAATTACCTACAACTTAGTACCTCTACAAGAATAAAACTAAATTAAAGCAAATTTTTTTTCGATGATGGTGGCATCATTTCTCTCAGAGAACTCCATAATCCTCCACAGGGCACATGCAGTCATCCGATCCACATGTACGGTGTAATTACAGAAAATATTTCCGTAGAGGAGGCCCAAAAGGAACTAAATACAATTTGAAAAGTTCTAAATTGAGTTTCATGGAAAAACTCTATTGAGTCAAAATATCAACAATCTAAAGATAGTACATTTTTTTTTTCATTAGCAAACACATGAAATTAACATGCTAAGCTAGAGACACGGAGAGAGATCGAAGTGCACCTGAAGAATGGAATGCGAGGCAACAAGGGTAATTGTTTGCCATCATTCTCGAAGAATTGGTCATGCCTAATTGGGTAGTCAAAATGCTGCTTAAAAATAGCCACCTTGAATACGCGATAAACAATGGTAAGGGGACTGCCTGTTGGATTTTTGCAGTAGTAGAAGGTGGTGCCTGACCACAACAATAGATATGCGACCCCCATAGAAATGGCTGATATCATGAAAGTATATGCCCAAGAAACTTGCAGTTGAAGTGCAAATGCAGATGTTGCAGCTCCTGAGTACCACGCGCAGTGCCACCACACTTTTCTGCGAGCCTCCACTCGTTCCTCATCTATATTTGAGCTTGGTTCCAGCTCCCTTAACTGATCTGCAAGAAATGCTTTCAAAGAGGCATCTCTTCCTGCTATACCCAAAGCTATAGCCATCATTGCCACATAAAATAACTGAACATTGGTTCTATAAGTTAGAACCACTTCCCCAAGCCATAGTAGTACCAATCCCTACAAAAACAAAGTGTTTAAATGAACATGCAAACTTGTTTCTTGGTAAGGACTACATGTAATCGAACTGAAATTCGAACTGAAATTCAAAGCACCATTAGATTTTCCTAATGCGAGTACTGTTATAATTTTTTATTTTTTATTTTTTATTTATACACAAATGTCCATTACAAGACTCGAAAAGATGTATCAAGGTCAAGAATGATGGTTTTTTAGAGTATCCTTCGAAATGTCTATTTGAATTTCACTATACAATTTCACTAAATTCGATTGAATTTTTGAGTATCTAGCCATATATAGTAATTAAGTAGGGTTTAATTAATCAGTAGAAATCAAGTCTCAAAATGAGGATGATTTTAAATGTAATACAATGACAAATCTAGCTTACAATCATATAAGCAGCAGTGGAGAAGAGGACCATATCAAAATGTCCTAAGTAGGCATCTGATATGTGAGCTGCAGCAATCACCATAACCGTTGATATCCCATCTTTCAAATTAATCACAGCGGCGGCTTTGTTGAGATGCTCCTTCTTCCAGCTATAAGTGAGATAAGACATCAACACAGCGCTGACTGCATTTTCTACCAAGCCTTGACTAAAAGTCACTCCTATATATCATTCATTAAAGCACAAATTATAAGATAAAGTTCTCTACTACTGAAAATATATAAATCTTGCAAATTAAACCCCCCTCTCTCTCTCTCTCTGTGCTAGTGGAAATCAAAATGTCAAGAAATTAAGATTACGAACCAAAAATAAATGAGACCCCCGTGGAGAAGACAATATAGTACTGGAACCATTCGATTGCCATACTATAAAGCTTGGACGGCATTCTACTTCTTGTTGGTGCTATCAGGCTATCAGCAGCTATGGATCAGCCTTCTCTTTCTGTTATAACACAAAAAGCACTAAGTTAATATGGATATATCCTTAATACAATACCAGAAGTAGTATATATATGTATGTCTGGACAATAGAATGAATTGAAGCCATTAAAATGCATACCTCGATAAGCTATATATGTTTCTTCAAGGCAGAGCTAGTGGATTATAAATGGATAGTAGAGAATTAATGATATATTTATACATTAATGCAGATTGGTGACTGGATGGGAACTAGGAGGAAAGTGCATATTGAAGTTCATGGAAAACCCAATTAAAAAGTTGAATCTGCAAAAAGTAAAATAAGATAACAAGTCCACCTCAATCACTGACCGAGGTGGAGCCAGTCGCCCAGGTTGTGGGTGCCAGCTGCCCTGGGGCCATGCTGTTGTACTAATGTTTATTTTATTTTATGCATTATAATTTATACATATATATATATATAGGGCCATGCTGTTGTACTAATGTTTATTTTAATTTATGCATTATAATTTATATATATATATATATATAAAATGCTACCCTAAGATTATCTTTTTCTACACATCTCTTGAATTCTTTTATTTTTCTTCCTTCTTTTCAAATTTGTTTTTATTTTCTTCAAAAAAAAATATTTACATTATCTTTTCTTCTTTTTTTCTGTAAATCAACCAATTTTATAAAGAAACAAAAACAGAGAATATATATAAATAAAAAAAAAAAACAACAACAACAACAAAAGGTGGAGCTAGTCCACCATCAGGCCAAGCCTGGAGACCCAAAACACAAGCCCACCCTACAACTGCAGTTCCAAACAAGGAACAGAGGGCAACAAACAAACTAATTGGTTAAAGACGGAGACGCCATCACAGAGCTTGGCAATCTCTAATCAGCAGCAATTGATCTTGAGGTTATGAAGTTATCAAATTTGCATGACAACAATCGATTCCATTATCTTGCCTTCAATCTCAAGTTGAGAGGCCTTGCTATCAGAGCGAGAGGTAGCCATAATTGGAGTAGGTGAAGTTAGTCTAGCATGAGTGTGACACTCCTGAAAAGAATGTCCTTAAATTTGACAAAAAGTGTAGTAAAGAGAGTGATCATAACGGCTATGTCGTCCGTTGTGATGAGAGGATGTTGGCTGAAAAGCCACTAACGGAGTCTGCAAGCATGTCCTCCTTTGGTCAACCTATTTCATAACAGCTTGAAGAAGAAGAATAATCCTATTTTGTGCCATTTAGAAATCTCAAACGCAAAGCGAATCTCTTCGCGACGGTACATTGTATCGACAATTGGTTGATAGTTTTGTTTATCTCACTGTCACCCGTCTAGACATCTATCATGCAATCCACATAGTTAGTCAGTTCATTGCTTCCCCTAGATCTACTCATTTTGCTGCACTTCTTCGCATCCTTCACGATCTCAAAGGCACTATATTTCATGGGCTTTATTTTTCTTCTCAGTCGTCACTTGTTTTTCATGCCTATTCAAATGCCGACTCGGCAGGAGATCTTACAGATCGTCGTTCCACCACATTAATTGTTTCTTTCTTGGTGATTCACTTATCTCTTGGCGCAGTAAGAAATAAACTGTAGTTATTCGATCTAGCTCAGAAGTTGAGTACATGACACTTACTGATACTACTTCTGAGCTTCTGTGGTTGCGTTGACTCCTTCAGGACATGAGAGTTTCTTCATCTACTGCCACTCCTATTTATTGTGATAATAGGAATGCAATTCAAATTGCACACAATGATATTTTTCACAAGCGCACCAAACACATAGAGATCGATTATCATTTTGTTCTTCATCATCTTCTTCAAAAGACCTTAGAGTTGCGGTCCATTACTTCTCATGATCAGATAGCAGATATCTTCACCAAATCGCTTCCATCAGACTGCTTCAAGGATCTTGTTTCCAAACTCAAGATGATTTCATATAACCCACCTTTACTTAGGGGGGCTGTTAGATTATATTATGTATTGTATTATAGGGTTAGGGTTAGTCGTCTTCACCTACCCTCATTATCATATATAGTATTACCTTATATGATAATAACTTGTTCTCCACACATGACCCTTTTTATATAAACCCCTACGTACTCTTGTATTATTCACATCTTATACATCAATATAATATTAATTCATTCATATATTTAACATGGTATTAGAGTGAGAGGTAGTCATAATTAGAGTAGGCGAAGTCAATCTAGCACGAGTGCGACACTCCTGAAAAGAATGTCCTCGAATATGACAAAAATTTTAATAAAGAGAGTGATCATATATGTATCGTCGCGAAAAGATTCGCCATCAGTGAGATCCACACATGACATCTCCTATATAAACCCCTATGTACTCTTATATTATTCATTTCTCGTACGTCAATACAATATTCATTCATATATTTAACATGGTATCAGAATGAGAGGTAGTCATAATTGGAGTCGGTGAAGTTAGTATAACACGAGTGTGACACTCACGAAAAAAATGTTCTCGAATCCGACAAAAAGTACAATAAAGAGAGTGATCATAGAGACTGTGTCGCCCATAGTGATGAGAGGATGTCGACTGAAAAACCACTATGGGAGTTTGCAAGCATGTCCTCCTTTGGTCGAGCTCTTTCATAACAACTTGAATAAGAGGAATAATCCCATTTTGTGTGATTTAAAAATCTTAAATGCAAAAATGCACTGCAAATTTGGAATCAGCGCGAAAAGCTGGGTTGGAATGGTCTCTTTGGAAAAAAAATAAAATAAAATATTGAGACCGCTAACGTGGCAGTAGTGGTGACATGGGAGCTAACTTGGCAACCTGTCTGGAGTGACAGATGATGTGGCTGTTAATGTGTGTCTAACATGTTAAATGATGTGGCTGCTGGCTTAGACTGATGGCGTGGCAAAACGGGTCCCAGTTTCTTACGTGGCAGCTAAACTGGGATGCTAACGTGAATAGATAAAGTGACACAATGGGTCCTATTGCTAATGTGTCAGATAACATGGCTTTTAACATGGCTGATGACATGTCAGAATGGTCCCCGGATACTGACGTGGCCACTTGCTGATTGTAGGATGACGTGGTGGATCCGATCGAATACGAGCGCGTGTGAGCACGTGAGGAGGTCTCTTTGGCGTGTGGAGGAGCAGAGGCAAAATCAGAGACTTCTAGTGGCGCGTGGGAGGGCATGCAGCGTGTTTTCAGGCTTTTTTTTAGTAGTGTCGAGAAGGTCCAGGTCTAAACTTTCGAATGATATGATCAGAATTTCGAAAGGACTTGTGAAGGGTCTATTTCAAACACCAAAAAAAAATGTATTTTCTTGATGGGCCTATTGAAAACACCACCAAGAAATTAAATAATAATAATAATAATAAAGAAGAAAGGATGACGTTGATACCGTGTTAGAAATAAGAGAGAGAAAGAGAGAAAAATTGTATATTGATATGATGTTATATTGTGTTAATGAAGAATACATAAAGGTTTTATATATATATAAGAATGTTTGGGGTTAGGTTAGTGATGAACAAGTAACCTATAAATACTAATATAATAGGTGTAATCATATATGGTAATTTATAATATGCAAAAAAAATCCTAAATGGTAGGTTAATGGATAAACTTATAATCTAACACGGAAATTGATGAAAATGATAAACAAGACACTCAATAGACTATTACATACTATTAGTTTTCTGCTTGCTGTCTTGGTGCACCATTAGGCATGGACCTAGTGGAACAGCTTGCCTCATTAAATTTTTTTTAGGGTTAATTCCACCTACACCCCCTGACGTTTGCCTATAATTCACTTACACCCACTCTACGTTTCATAATTCCATCTACCTCCCTTGAGGTTTTGGTTTGTGCAGCAAATTACCCCCTACCGTTAAGCCACTAATGGTGTGTGCTGATGTCAGCATCAGAAAATTATTAGAAAGTCAATTTTGCCCTTCAAATGTCTAAAATGACATCTTTAACCTCATTCACCAATACGCAATTACAAAACTACCCTTAATTTGTTAACTCAAGTGTACAAGAATACCCTTCCTTTCACTTCAACATATATATATATATATATATATATATATATATATATATATATTCATTCATATATCATCTTCTTCCTTCCACACACTGGTTTCAAGCTCTCAATTGCTGTGTTCTTAAAATGGTTTGTCTACTGAGAGCGGCCAGAGTTTCAGTTTGCCCAAGGGTCGAGGCTTATGTAACCAAAAAGTCACGGTCGAGGGTTCTCGCATCGACAGTGGTGATCAATAGCGCAATGTTGGAGAGGCTATAAGGGCTGGGTCCGGCCCTCTCGTTGGAGCACGAGACGTTGATTTTCGCTGCCGATTACGATGCCGTCGAGCCTGTAATCCAACATCACGCCACTGAGAGACATTGATTGCAGATGTTTATAAGGCTTAAATCTGGCAAGAAATGGCGAGATTGAACTGACAGGCGATGAAACTTCCAACTATCGCCGTCGTCGTTGAAGATACCGTCGCTAGAGAATATGGGTTTTCCAACTTTTTTTCTCTCTTTCTCTTTCATGTTTTTTTCTCGACCAGATAAAAACAAGAAGTTTCCTCAGTGGTTTGCTCAAGAAAATTTCAGGCGCCGTGAATCCCGATATCAGGGAATGAAACAGTCCGTAGTGCACCGTCGGCAACCAGTAATCTTTTAGTGATATCAAGGACTCTGGTGATGAAATCCCTTCCAAAATGACTCCAACAGTAAGAATTCAAAGATTCAATCAGTTTGTAATAGCACAGATGCACCATTGGAAAACGCCGGGGAAGTTCTAGCTCTCGCCGTCAGTGTTGAAGATGCCGTCGCCGGAGAAGATGGGTTCATCACTTGATACATACCCAGGTTCTGGGTTGTTTGCTAGAAAATATATCAAATATGCAAGGTTTCAGAGGGGAAAACAAATAGCTCGATTTATGGGTCCCTTCACTCATCATCCTAATGGAAGAGAAGCTAGAGGATTTCAGTGCTTTAAAATCCCTATTTCTATTTGTGATGAGCTTGAGAAGATTAGTTTTTTGTGATACAAAGAAAGTGTGTAGTCACCATCGTAATGCTGGACAAGAACGAGGTAAGCCGGATCAAAGACGACGGCGGCGAAGTTCACAGCTACCTCAACCCAGTTCAGTCCGACAAAGCTCAGTTCAGTCCGACGAAGATTTGCGGTTTGTTCACTGCACGTTGGTGGTCTCACAACGGAGGATCGTGGCTGTGATAAGAACCAGCTAACTGTCCTTGCAATTGAACGGCGGACA